CCTCTTCTAAAAAAACTCTCTTCTGCAAATAGCCAAATTATCATCATCTGATCTTTTCATGGAACGGATTTTCTCACTTCTCTAAGCTGCAATTCCTGCAATAACACCATTTTGCATATGTTACCAATTTTCCCACAAACACAAATGTTCAAATTCTCAGATGAAAAAAGGTGTTAATTAATCATACATACCTCCGTTTGGTTGCCTGTTGATGTAGCCAGCTGGTCCTCTAGACATGAAGTCCAATGCTCCCATTCCCAATCCTTCTTCTGCCTTTACAGGCATTGAAAGCCACGCCGAGTCGCTGTACAGAGAGTCTGTCTCCAAGCTGCTTGAGCCATTGCTGTAACCACCAACATGAACCCCTCTCATTGCTTCTAATCCTATGCCTCCTCCTTCACCGCGATAGCTACTACGTGCACGTGCAGTTGCTCCCCAGTTGTCTCCGATGCTGCCTAGTGAAGACATTCCAGAGTTTCCGTTGTAGCTGCTTCTAGATATAGGAGAGTTTGACATGTAACCTAGACCACCATTTCCCCATAAATGGTTCCTTGTTGCTCCATTTAGCACAGAACCGTTCCCAACACTAGCTCCTCCCGACTCAATCTGGCTACCGTACCTGCTAAGACTAGCAGCATATCCAGGGCTAAAGGGCCTTCCAAAGCCTCCACTGGAACCAGATCCAAAGTTCTGAGTCTGGTTTGGCTCAAAATTCAGCTCAATTTCGTATCCATGTCCAAACGGTGAGAATCCGCCCCTATTACCTACTACTGGACTGTACCTAACTTCAGGTTTAACTCCATAACCGGGGGTTGGACTCGAGGTGAATCCTTGGGCGTAGTCGTTCAACAATGTACTGATTCTACTACTGCCAAAGCTATTTACATTCATTTGGTTGCGGATTGGGGTCAGAGCCATTTCCTTAGGAACAGCGAGTTTGACCTCCACCATCTTACCATTAAGTTCGTGGAATGTCCTCTGCAGCACTTTGTCCACAGCGTCCTCTGAGTCATAAGATATGAACCCAAAGCCTCTTGGTCGTTGGGTTCTGTGGTCATACATCACCACAACATCCGTGATCATCCCAAACTGAGCGAAATAGTTCTTGAACTCAGCCTCAGTCACTGATGAAGCCAAACCACCCACAAATATCTTTTTGGAGTTGGCTGGGCCAGGTGATCCCTGCAGGCTGCTGCTACTCTTGATCATTACTGCATGATCATCTCTTGGAACTGCTTTCTTTGCCTCAACCTGTGATCATGGAGAGAAACAACACACCACACAAATCCACTATTATAACTCACAAACGTTGACTGATTCTTGAATAGGAACATAAATCTTTGCCAAGTATAGTTAGCATTCTAATTTAGGATCACACCAAAGAGAAAGAAAGCAGTTTGTTATTCTAATCCAGAAATTTAACAACAACGTTTGAGCAAGATCTGAAGAGAGATGCTTTTGCTTTTGGTGCTTCCTTACGCTGATTATAGACAATAGAGTCTAAAACAGTAAACGAATAAAGAGAATATCTTTGCTTTCAGGAGCAGCAACCTCTAAATGAAGCAAGTAATCATCAGATTGACATTGGAAGCAATGTAGATTTCTGGTGCTTAAGAGAGAAAACTTACAATTTTACCATCAATAATGTGTTTGAGTAATACGACTCTCTCAGCAACATTTGGGTCAGCGAAGACAAGGAAACCAAAGCCACGAGCACGACCAGTGGCTCGATCCTTCATGATCACCGCCTCTAAAACCTCACCAAAACTCTGAAAATACTCTCGGAGACGATCTTCACTAGTCTCCCAAGATATCCCACCGATGAAGAGCTTACATGATTCCATTTCCATTCTGCAACAAAAAATCAAAGGGTTTGTTCCCGAGTTCCATATATACATCTAAGCTCAATCTCGATCTAACTGAAAACATCATCTATTCATCAAAATGCCAAACGAAGAAGAATCGAATCGAATCGAACAGAACAGACCTCAAGGGAAGCAATAAGGATATATCGATGAATAAAAGCAGCTGGGTTTTGATCGGATTCCGTGAACCGATCGACCCACGATCCTGGATTCCTGAAACAAACAAACACAGAAACGGGTCGATCAAAACTCAAAAACCCAGAAGAGAAGAAGAAAACTTG